TCATCCGTTTTATTATTTTCGGGTTTTCGTTCTAATTTTGAGACCTGCCGGTACCTCTAATATTCTAAAAATTCCACGCATGTAATTGTTGCACCTACTCATACCATATCAAATCAGAAAATTAATTTACCATTACTACGAAAAATCATAATCGTGACTCTGAAGCTTTCAACTGATGATGGCATTTTGGATGTCGAAACCCGTATTGGGTTTGAATTTTGGATAGTATAGCTTCGTTTACATCTTGTTCGGAAAACTTTAGGGAATGTATAGGTACCATTTGATTCGTTTTCAATATGATCTTAATGTAATTATAAAATGAATAATACAGGGTGACTCAAAGTAAATTTCGTACTTTAAACAGAATGAGGTCCAAATGTCGAACATCGATTTCATTGTACTCCTCCGATCCTGTTCATAAACTTTTAAATCGCCGCCGATACATTTCAATGGGAATGTTGGTAATGTCAAAAAATGACGAAAAATTAGAGGAGTCAGGACGGAAGGAGTAGTACGGATATAAAGCAGAGGATAGCGCAGGGTCGAGTCGCCTTCAATACAAAGAAGTCATTTATATGCTCGCGAACGATTAATTTAAAAATTCAAAATTGTTGAAGGTGTATGTTTGGAACGCGGCGTTGTACCGGTGCGAAACATGGACAGTGGGTTAGAAGCGTTCGAAATGTGGTGTTACCGGCGAATGATGACGATAACGTGGGTAGAAAAGGTTAGAAATGAAGAGGTATTGGAAAGAATAAAAGAACGGTGGACTCTATAGAAGTCAATAAGAAATAGGCGAAATAGGTTGGTGAGACACCTTCTCAGAGACATATTAGAGGCAGAAACAGAGTTAAGACGAGTACAGGTAGACCCAGATTAGATCCGATTACTGTTCACAAATAGATAAGGATGTGGGCTGTTCTAGTTTTAGGGAAATGCGATGATCAGCTCAAGATAAAAAAAAAAGTGGAGATTCGTGTCTTAGGACTGACGACTAACAGGCGAGCTGAAATGTTCGTAGGCTAGCATAGAAAAAATTATTTTTTTTTTGATAGAATTTGATTTTATTATTTAATATAGTTCCCTTCGAGGGCGATACAACGATTATAGCAGTCATACAATTTTTCGATACCATTTTTATAATACGACTTGTTTAGCCTTAAAATGGGCTTCAGTTTCGGCGATTACCTCTCCATCGGCGCGAAATTTCTGTCCAGCAAGCATTCTTTTGAGGTCTGAGCACAGAAAAAAGTCGCTGGGGGTCAGATCTGGAGAGTACGTTGGATGCGGAAGCAATTCGAAGCCCAATTCATGGAATTTTGTCATCGATTTCATTGATTTGTGAAACAGCACTTTCTTTTTCAAACAACAAAAGTTCTTTAACTAAAAATGCTGTAACTCAGATAGTAATAGTGCAACAGCTGTCAAATTTATACACGTGTCTTTTGAAGGTTACGGCTAACTAAAAATCATATGAATTTGATACTAGTAGAGCCATATATGGGCCAGACTATGAACTTTTCAGCCCGCCCTTGTACATTGTCACGCTGGAGGTCAAATCAAAAACTTTTTAGGTACTTCATTCCCACCAGCTCTTAATGCTGGTGGACGGACAGTTTCTACTGATTACGTCGGAAGGTACGGCAGCAGGCCATCTTTAACTCCCTTTGAGGAATCATGAGAAAGAGTGGGTGGTGGCTGAGGTGAGAAAGACGAGACGGACGAAATGAAGACAGAAAAGATTGAAATATTATTTGTGGAATAAGACCTTCTGCCCCAGAATTTATTTAAATATCATGTATGGAATAAGACCTCCTGCTCCAGCATTTTCCTAAATATTATGTGTGGAATAAGGCCTTTTTCCTCAGAATTTTTATAAATATTATGTGTGGAATAGGACTTCCTGCGCCAGTATTTGTCTAAATATTATCTGTGAAATAAGTCCTCCTTGTCCAGCATTTGCCTAAATGGCCCAAGGAAACCATCGAAAAACTTGGACAAAGGCAGACGGACCGAAATCCCGCCGAATCCAAAGCAAAGGTCTAAACCCTAGGCCTGAAATTGGCAAGTAATTTTTGGTGGGGATCGGACATTTTTGAAATTTTTTTTATCAAGGTCCAGAAAACACATATTCTTTTGCCCAGAAAATGATAAGGGTGACGATCAAAGCTCACACATGCTTTCGTTCGGGGAAAGCCAGATCACGGCGGTTACCAATACGAACTTTTAGACATTGGGCAATATTAAAAATTAAGGTAGAAACCAAAACAAATGTAATATTTTGATTCATAATCCCATAGATATATCCTATATAATTTTGCCTTAAAAAAAAATAAAAAATAAGTTCGATTCAGTTATTAGGTAATTTACAAAAAAAAAAAAAAATTTAC